ATCATAAACTACAAGATAGAGCGGACAGACTGTTCGTACTGTGAGAGTGTGAGCAAATCTCGTGAGAGAGAAGTAACAAAGAAATATGGTCTCCCAATCACTCCGAAAGCACCGTTAATCACAACTGAATGCTTCTTCCCTCACAATTTCTTATGAAAATGAGATTATAATAATAATAATACATTCATTTTCCCAAAGATGATAAAACATATTATATAAGTAGGCACTTATAATCTAAATTCATCCAATGTATAAAAAGTATCGTATCGACGAGTAATTATATTCTCAAGCGAGTTTTGAAAATAACAATATTGGCGGAACTTACTATTTATTTGGGCAGTTTATTGAGAATCTTCATCAATCTTCATCAGTCTCCGTTCACGTAACAAAATGTTCTCAAGATTTCGGAACATAAAACATAATGAATTCAATTTTGAGATCAAGTTGGTACAATGTTTAAACCAGCTTCTATAGTGATTCCTAGAAATTCAACTGATAAAGTAGGCTCGATTGAGATATCAGTTTTTATTGTTAGAGTGTTGCATTTCTTTAGTGAAGTTGAAAAGAAGATTGTTACGAATCAAAAGACGAGTTTGACAAAGGGTGGTTTTTATAAAAAATATATATTTCACCTTTATGCATATATTTTGACGATAAATATAAAAGGTGCTTTTGCTGTTTTCCACCTCAACAAACTGAAAATTGTAATAAAAAACTCTATACAGTTGTAGAAAGGGCAAACCGATAAGTTAGTGCGTTAACTCGAAGTATTTTTCACAAAAAAAAATCTTCATCAGTAACTTATCGTTTCTGATAATTTTGCTCATTAAAGAAATACAAGTAAGGAATTATACAGTCACTTACTTAACTTATTCAACGTTTCGAGAGAGTTTTCATAATAAAACGAATAAAAGAAACAGAAAATTCGTTTTAGGTTTTTTCAATTTTGATGACGGAGGCAGAATTTAGCCTCCGAAACGTTGCATAAATATCTGTATAATTTTTTAACTTCCCACACTTATTCGGGTTCGCTATTTGAACGGTTTTCAAACTGTCAAATTAGTCACACAGTTGAGACTTGAGTACTTTTGCACGAGTCTACTACTCTAGTAGTAGCGAGTTTCTAGTCTACCAGAATCAGCTGGGTAACTATTTTAAACCGTCCTAGTATCGTTCGAACTTCTATGAATCGGCCTGTATATGGAGTTGTTGGTCCGTATCTGGCACACTCAGTAGCTATCTCGACGCCTGTGAAGTATCCTCGCACCCAGTATAGAGTTGATCTATTCTCGTCAGCCAATTCCAAACTAGTCTTGGTGTCACTTTTAGGTTTCTCAGTGCTCCAGGTGCAGCCTGGCTGTCTGAGAAACTACTTATACGCTCATTTCGTTGGGGCTTCAAATTGATATTCTTTGCGAATTGCAAGATCGCATACACCTCAGCCTGTAAGATTATGTATAGAACGAGCAGGTATCTGAAATTTGAATTTCCTACTATACAATAAAGATATTTTCTGTATGGTTTTGATGAAATAACTAGGGTTGTGTTCTCCCCAATATGTAGTATCACCTAGTTTAACAAGTATTCAGATTATGAACTGAAGAACACACAACAATGTTGGCAAACGAAGAGTAGACGATAATTGAACCAATTTATTATATTATCGAAATCTTTCTCTCAACTTTTGACTTCAAATTCCTCTAACGTTTCGAATTATTCTATACAGAATACTGAATAAGTGTGAAACATTTAAGGAGGTGATTCCTCATCGAAAAAAAGATAGGATCTTTCATATAAAGAAACTTCATTGGAGCGTCCCTTGTAAAGATACAGCCCCTTGAAGGTGGTACATAAAATTTGTATTACAATTTTTTTCACAAGCACTGAAAAAGTTACAATATTGAAATGAACCTAACGTTTTGTACTACCAAAAAGACACTTAGCCAATTTTTTATTTGGTTTACCCCATGGTTGTAAGGGGTGGAAAACGCAACCTCTAAAATTTATTTCTAATGTAATGTTTACCATTTAAAAATTTATTTCCGATAGCCTGTTTCATTCTAAACAAAAAATGTCTATTGGGTTTTTTGTCCCAATAACTCCGAGCCACACGTTAAGAGAAAACTGTTCTTAATGGTCGTTTCGACAATAGCGTGAGGGCTTTCATCAGCCCATATGTGGTAATTATGAAAATTAATAATTTTGTCTCGAGAAAAACTACATTCGTCTGTGAATTCTATCGTCTTCAGAAAGTCACAATTTCTTTATATTCATTTCCAGCATCCAATTTCGAAATTCAAGACGGTTCGGAAAGTCTCGCGGTAACAGTGCCTGTACTCGTTGCAGATGGTAAGGGTATAAGAGTTGTTCCTTTAAACTTCAAAATACCGTCATATGATCAACATTTAGCAGGAAAGCAATCTTTTTAGTACTGGTAGTAGGTTGTTCTTTATTCAAATTAAGTACTGCTTCCTCAAGATTCAGATACTAGTGTTCATGAAAGTTTAAATTTCTACGCATTCTGCTGTAACACAATATTGAGTAGTTTCCTCCATCCTCATTTAACATATTCATCGTATTTAGATCCAACACCAAGATGGAGCGCGCTACGAGGCTCCCCGGAACTGCGCCCCTACAATAGCCTGCCAAGGGGTCAAGACATCAACAACTACCCCTCACTTGCCTTACATCAAACCAACCTTCGAAACCAACTGAACTCAGTCGACTCCCCTTCCTCACCACATAGACGACATTCCCCGGCCCGAAGGACTCACTCCGAGGATGTGTACACCGAAAGGGGGTCTTCTCCTCTATCCATGGGTGACGCTCATCATGTTAATTCATCTCATAAACCAGCACGAGTTAATCCTCTTATGCAATTGGCAGAAAGTAGGCAAGAAAGAAAAAAGTCGCCTAGGAGGAAACAGAATAATGAAGCGAGTAGTGGAGAGAGTAGTTCAAGGGAGGAGGGGAGTTCGAAGGAGGAGGAGAGTATGAAGGGTAAAGGTAAGTCACTTTTGTATTATGTTTGTTGATTTCGGGTCCTTAATTTACCCTAGGGTCAATTTCAGTTGATGAGATTGATGAACCTTTTGATATATATTTTCACTGAAAGTGAAAAATATCATCAGTATGGATCCAGAAAACCACACAAATTCAAAATTGGTATTTTCGAACACAGAAATTTTGTCTAGAAAAACTATTCAGAATTCAAAATCGTAAATGAAAATATTACGTCTACCGTGAATGAACAATTTTGGTTTTCCAATGGTCCATGGCATAACCAACAACGGGAAAAATCTGAAACTGGGAAAAAAAACTAGACCTTTTTCTGCTGTTTCACAAAAAGTTTACGCCATTGCTCTTTCAACACTCGTGTGTCAATTATGTTAACTGGGTTTGCTCCACGCTCCCAACTTTTTACCTACGAGGAGGCTAGGCTGCACAGTAATACACAGCCTAGATATGATTTTCCAGCATTGGAGGCTATGACTTCATCAACTGGAGTCGGTTCATCGACTCACTAGAGAGTTTTCTCCTCCCAGATAATTATCTTAGGTTGTGACCATTCTCATTTCATAAATAAAGAAAACACCGAAGCTTGATGATTGAATACTGACTATGAATTATCAATAAATATTCTGGCGGGAGAATGAAAATTGTGGGACAAAAAAGTCAATATTTGATAACCTCCTGTTGATTAGTGATATTATTTTGGACTGGAAAACTGAAAAAAAGCTGAAGGGATATCCTAAGTATTTCTTTTTTTCAGTCCATTGATAGAGTTACAGTACAAGCAAGATTTTTAGGAAAAAAAGTTATATGAAGTACTGGTGATATTTTGACCGCATCTATACATTCCCGAGAGGAAAAGAGGAAGTCCAGGGACACCCTGTATATATCGGCAATTCTCTGTAAACTTGCAATGGCCCATACAGATGCTGTCGCTATACTATAGCTTTCTCAAGCGTTAATAATAAGTCACAGAAGTAACTTAATGAGTTTCAATATGGATTTTCATCAAGTATCGGCCGATTCTATTCAAGTAATACTGTTGCTACTCAAGAGAGCACATTGAATTTATCGATTTTATTCGAGTTATTTGTAATTTTCTGAAAAATCATAACGGGGAATTGTTAGGTACGACAAGGGACTGTTCGGTGGTACAGAAAACTGTTTTATAGAGAAATCAGTTATATTTTTATTTCTATGCCTCAGCATACAACAATCATAATTTCTGAAAATTAACAAAAACATAACTGGTAAACGGAAAAACAGATTTCAAAAGATGATTTTTCAACAGATAACTTCTCTTAAATTGAATATGTTCATATCACAAACAAACTGAAAACATTTTGTACTTCACCTACGATTGACTTATTTATTATTATTAGTTAACTAGTTTAGTGATCCAATAATCTTTCCGGAAGAAAGTTTGGTTGGGTAATAGAAAGAAAAAGAAAAGAAGAGAAAAAATTGGTCCTGTTACCCAACCAACCTTTCTTCAGGAATTATTGTTATTGTCAATCACTATGTAATTGCAAATGATATCTTCAAATAAACCCTTATCTTTTTTCATCAAATAAGGCACATCTACGAACATAAGGAGTGCTTGTTATGAAATGTTTAAAATATGTTTTTTCCGTTAACCAGTGATCGCACCCCTACCAACGACAGCCCTCAGAAGTCGAAACTTGTGCGAGCTAAGGATTAACGAGCTCTTACCTTTTGACGTGTGATTCCTAACACTTAATGTAACATTTCAAAAATTTTAACGTTCAAAGACGTCAACCTCAGTAAGGAACTTGTAAAATACCCTCTGTCCCTTCTGAATCAGTTCAGGGTTATCCAGTTTCTGGATATCTTGATCAAACGACACGACTGAAATGTCCTTATCATCTAGGGCCTACATTCTAGGCCTTGAGATTAGAATTTCTGCTGCTTCTACAAAACCGCAACACGTGTTTCGCTATACAATGGCTTCCTCAAGCCTTGTGATAAAGTGGTAATAAGTTATATATTTTCATTAATTATCGGTCAATTCCATCACATTTGTTGATATGCTCGTCAAAATTGTTGCTACCGTCTATATTATTTGCAACGCTCATTTAGTATAAGTAATATTGATGCTGGTTGGGCCCCAAAAATATCACTATGGATCCACATGGATATGCGACTTCACATTCAGTTTACCCCAAAAATTGCAACTTTACAGTTCGTTCACCGGTCAGATTGAAAAATAAGTATGTATTTACAAATTCAACTTCTAGATTTGCACAATACCATTAAAAAAGAATGTGAAGTGCAATTCGGTAAAAAAAAACAAAACATACGCAACACGAAGGTGTAAGTGGGAGTGGAAGGGGCAGTTAGCCCCTTTGTGAAAACGATCGAGGGCTAATATATGTTGACCAATAATACTGAACCTATCAATCACATGTAGATCAACACTTTTGCACTTGGTCAACACACTGATTGGTGTATTTATCATAAATTATTTCATTTCAATCGTTTATTTTTTAGGAATACTAACACCCGAACCGACGAAGAAATTCGATTCGAACATTATTGAAAAACGAGTTAGTTTCGACAGCAACGTTACGAATACAATGATGAAAGAAAAACTCATCAGTGCCCTTCGGAGTCAGTCACTAAAAGGAGGAAAATCATTGGAACACCGACCAGCCCTATCTCATTTCCACCAGGGCGACCAATCTGATAACTCGGAAGAATCTACGTCGAATGAAGTAAGTAGATGGATTCAGGTTTTCGATAAAAAGTACACAATTTCTCTTCTATTGGAATACATGTATGGAAGAATTCAATATTTTTATTGTTTACTTCGGAAATTAAATTTTACAATATCATTCAGTTTTCATTTTATCTAATTGAGCAAATATAAATATAGAGTATATTGATAGTGAACAGACTCCTTGTAATGAGATTTCATTTCGAGATAACGTGATATTCGATATTTTTTCAAAAGGATGAAAAAGCTAAACAGAAATTTACTGAATGAAGTAAAATTGATGATATCTAAATGCCGCTATGTATACGTGATATTTGTCAATTGACATTACAAAAAGTATAGATATAAAAATTATTAAAAACCTTATATGTAACAATAATTCAGTTAAAATATTTTCACATCTCCGGAGTATTTCCAATTACACCGGAAGAAGTTCATTAAATTATATAATATCGTCTTGTGTCCTAACCTAACCTACATAATATTCAAAATGTTCGACATTTTTTATAAAAAAGTTACATCTGCAGGAAGTCTTCAACTTGAATACCTTTGTTGATATTTTTCAAATTTGGTAAATGATTGATAATGAAACGAATCAAAACACCATGGTATCTACAAATATTGAAATTCATATTTTAATACTGGAAAATACTTTTTTTTCAATTAGAACCCCTTTCATTACCCACATTATCATGATAACATTGAAAATAATGGAATCTCACTGGATATTTTTTGTTTAAATTCACTTTGCACGGTAATGCAACATGCATATTGCAACTTTAAATGATCTGTTTGAAAAAAAACTGTTTAAAATCTATTTTTCCGTTAACCAGCTGTTGCACCCCTACGAACGACAACCCTCAGAAGTTGAAACTTGTGCGAGCTGAGGATTAACGAGGTCTTATCTTAAACGTGTGATTCGTAACACGGAAAATGACTGATTAACATTTTGAGGTTCACAAGATTCATCACATGACCAACTCCTATTGGGATTCACTAAATCCATCGTGACGTAAATCACAAGGTAGAGGAAATATATAGGGTATAAGAAATGTAATAAAAATTATCATTATCAAGTCAATTCCGATAATATGATGGAATATTGTGATATCAATTAACAAAGTTGACTATTATCAGATTTTTAGATGTCAATTAACAAAGTTAGGTATTGTCAGATTTTTTATATCGAATTGCAATATTTTTTGTGGAAACTGACCATTTTGTGATTTTATTACTAAGTGCTCCATAAAAGAAACTGGAAAGGTACTGTACATATTGTATATGAAGAGATAAATGATATGAAGTCCATTTGAAATAAATCTAGTATTTGATGTAGAACACAAATCTGATCTATAGAATTGAAATAACGAAGTTTGATCCCACTTTTGATATAACTAGAAGCGCTCCTGACTTGAAACTATTTTTCAGTATTTTTCCTAGGTAATTTTTCAATACAATCCTTGATTTCTATATCTCAGAATTCACTATTTTTTTGTGCATTTGATTGTAATTTGATATAGAAAGTTTATGAATCTTTATAAGCTATTTTTCCACACTTTGTATATAGCATATTATGTGGACTATGTCACTAGAAGTCGCTTATTCGATGTTCCACTAGGACGAATTTGAACTTCAAATTTTTTAATACGGATCTGTCTTTTGTTGTTGCTCTATCAGTCATGTGAATTCTAACTGATAAACACCGCAATTCTGAAAATTAAATAAATATTGAGTAATGTATAATCAAGCAACAAATATTTCTGTCTTTTTCTCACTACAAAACTAATTGTTTCAAATGTTGCATAACTGGCTTTAATTCAGTGATACGAAATATTCGCCTACTAATAATCACAGTATATTATGATCTCATGAATCACTATTCAAGAATTCTCAACTATCATAGGAATTGATGTTATCATTGAACAAAAGGATTTTTGAATAAGATAAAGAAATATATCTATGGCTTGTCGGATCATTTCTGTGTGCCATACACAGCTCCAGCTTCCTGAAAGAATGTTCCCTGGGAGTGGCCGTCGATGAATACCTCTCGATTACTTTAACCATCAATTTTGGTGTTCCCCAGGGTTCCATATTGTCTCCAACCCTCTTTTAATTGTATCAACGACTTACTGGACGAAACCCAGAATCCAATATATTGCTTTGCTGATGACAACACTTGTCTCGTCATTCCATTTGGAAGCAGAAGGTTGCTTATCTTGATGAAGATCTAGAAGTGATTTCGAATTGGTGTGAAAGAAACCAGGTTCAATTCAATGCCACAAAACCCAGGCATCGATTTTCTCCAGAAAGATAAATGTCTCCAAACTGGATACAATAATGTCAGGATAGACAATCCCGCTTGCTGCTTCGATAAGTTCGTTGGGGGACACCAATATGTCTTGGCACTATCATGTCGCTGGAATTGCAAATGTTGTTTCTCAAAAGCTAGGAACACTGTTTCGAACCAGAAAACTGTACACACCTCAGCACCTTTTGATGCTTTATAAAGCTCAGATCACTCCTTCTTTGGAGTATTGTTCTCATGTATCGAGCTACGCCCCTAAGCATACCCTGGAGCTGCTGGATTCCATCCAAAATCATACGCCTGATTGGAGACGCAAACATCACTTACAACCTTGATAGTCTGAAACATCAAAGAAAGGATAGAGATTTGTCTCTCTTCTATAGATACTTTTACAGGAAGTTCAAGTGACTTGGTACATTTGATTCCACCAAGAGCGGTACATATCAGAAAAAATACGCGACGGACTGTGGCTGTTATTCGTTTTGAGGTTCAACTCAGTACACCTCGAACTTCACTGTTCACAAACTCTTTCACTTGGAAAACTGCGTTTATGTGGAATAAGCTTTCTGAGAACGTTTATCCAAATTGATTCAATCGCCAGCGGTTCAAATCCAATGTGAATCGCTACTTTTACACAGACACCACTCTTAGAGCACCCTAAGAATTTTCCTGTAGTGCTTGTGTTTTGTCTTGAAAAACATCACGTGCTATACGATGTGATTATTATTTCAAACTTAATGATATCAAAAGAGGTAATATTCAAAAGAGGTCATTTATAGTTGCAATCAACATTCTATCGGTTCAATCCAAATCTGCGGAAAAGTATTTTCAAAACGAAGTATCTTAGGTGTGTCTTTCATTTTGGATGAATATGACAATCACAACCTGAAAATGAAGTCGTCAGTTTTAATACAGGTGGTTATTCTAGATGACCATGCTTTGCCTATTCTTCTTTTCCATTCAACTAAGTTGCAAATAAAAGATATTGACTGTGGAAAAGTTATTTCAGGTAAAATATTCATCAAGAACTCAGGTGAATTGAAAATGTTTAGTGTATAACAAGCTTTGGGAAAAAACCTTTTGGGAAAAACTCTTTTTGAGTTTCTTGGCTTTGGTTACAATACGTATGAATATTACTGGAGTTTTTTCCCAACACCAAATCGTTATTTTTACACCTCGATACGTGTTTCGATCACCAAGTGATTATCTTCAAAGAGGATGCTAAAAATAACAACCTGGTGCTGGGAAAGAAACTTTCTTTCCCAGCATCAGGTCGTTATTTTTAGCACCTCGACGCGTGTTTCGTTCACCAAGTGATCATCTAGAGTTTTAATCTTCCTCTTTGAAGATGATCACTTGGTGATCGAAACACGTGTCGAGGTGTAAAAATAACGATTTGGTGTTGGGAAAAAACTCCAGTAATATTCATTACTACACCAAAGGTTCCAAACAGTATTATTTCGATTCTTTGGAATTTGATATTTATCGCTGCTAACCTTTGAAATAACAAAAAGTGCAGTGAACATAGAAAATTTCGAAAACAAGTCAATAACACAGTTTCTCCTCTAAGTTGGGTCTAACGCTCTGAAAATAATTATCACACACATTTCAATACAAAATATTATACATTAGTCAAAATTCTTGGTATTTCGTCCCCAATAACTTGGTAATAGTTTAATTCAGATAACCGCCGGCTATATAGAACTGATGAAACATAAAAAACTATTTAGAACATAGAACGTAGACATTAAAACTCGTTTAGAATTAATAATGTCTTCCATAAAACATTCAGTACTTCTTTCCCGATTACGATTTGGCATATATTTGTGTTCATATGTACTCAACTATGTTTTATATAGTTTCCTACTGATAACATATCAGAACTTCCAGATACAAAATGTACAAATTTTCGTTATTGAAATCCCAAACTAATAATTTCGTAATCATATGAGTAATTGTTTTCATTTTCCTTCACAATATTGCCAAATTGTAACCCAATTATTACATTTCATTCATTGTGCAGGAATCACCGGCGTAACCTTATGAAACAGTTGACATATATTGAGAACCACTGAAGTTACCTATCGTGAAATGATACTCACAATATTTTTTATTCATCATGAAATTCACTACAAAAAATAATAATTCACTCATGCCTTTTTTGTTGAAGTCATCATTTACAAAATTAGCTATCAATTTATACTAAATTAATAGATATATTATTCAAAGACACTATGATGGAAAATATTTTTAACTTTTTACATATAGTCAGTGAAGGAACTGGTCAAATTTCGAATATGCGGTTGGTTATCTAATTCACAGGCAGATGGGGCGATGACAAACCTGTCGTTTGTTGTCCGCTTCAGCCTAGTTCGAGGAATGATACTTTGAAGGAATTCGATTTTCAATTATCGGAAATCATCGACTTGCGGCCTGCAANGCTAAGTTACGAACATTCTAAGGTATGAGGCAAGTTGATGGTAAGGTTTGCAAAGTTCCGCAAGGCCTCAAAACTCAGCCTTTGAAGCTGGATCGATTTTTATTTTTGCTCTGATAACCTCTCACTCCCCTTTTTTAGTTGTACAGTGTTGTTCGTCCGCAACCTTGAGAAATAGAACAACTTACATATAATATTATTTTTGGAATCTACAACAATTACCCTCCTAGTATCGTTCGAACTGCGAACCCCAATACGCCTTTTGTTTAATAGGCAATATTGTTAAAT